AGCCTGARCATGAAAAATCCAAGGGCCCTGTAGTTCCCAAGACTGTGCTAGCTATGCCTGGGAGGGGAGGGGAGGGATAGAGAGAAGCAGAAAATAAGGCTCTTGCCCTTATAAACAGAACTGATGACTGAGAAGAACACAAAATCCCAAGACCCATGAGTCAATGAAGCCAAGGAGCAGCTGAGCCATCAACAACCAAGGTGACAGGAGCCCAAGGCACTGGTCTGTGGTCAGGGTAGTGGGCATTCCTCTCCAAACTAATTCACCTGGCCAAATGAGGTGGAGAGAGATGGTGGCAGCAGTTACAGCAAGGTGACAAGGGGCAAAGGCAGGAAGAGCCCCAGCCCCAGGTGACTGGACTGCATGGTGGCCCCTACACACCGGGGACTTCACAGCGGTGTACTGACACACAGGTGAAGAGGGATGGAAAGTAGGTTGACCAACCATCCTGGTTCACCTGGGACTGGGGATGTATCTCAGGATTCTTAGCTTCCAGTTAAAACTAGGAAAGTCTTGGGCAAACTGGGATGAGTTGGTCACCCAGGAAGAAACAGGTCTTTGAAGTCATGCAGGCTGTATTTCAGCCCAGCAGCAAAACAGCATGGCCCCTAATTGGTACTCAACCCAAATCTGGGGTACTCTGTCCAGTACGAGGCCTTACACATTTCACCAAGGAACAGGATCTTAGCAGGAATCACAGTCCCCCTGACAACATGTAAACTGGTCCCCACGCCTACCCACTTATTCTTGTAACCCCCCTTTCCCCATCTCACAGAAAGACCTTATCTGTGCCCCTGGATCCCCCCATCTTGTGTTCCCAACTCTCCTGCACTCCCCTCCTGTGAGTGCTGGTGCAACTACCAGAAATTTCTCTAACCTTGCAGAGAGGTCTCCCTTTTCCAAACCAGAAGACCAGAGATCCTTTCCTCTACTCACCAACTCACCCTCAGGGCCCATAGGGCCAATCATCTATAGGAGTTTAAAATTACCTCTCCTTAGGAGCCAAGGCACTGCTCTGGCCACCCCTTGACATAATGGCTAGGAGCTGGCTCTGCTGCCATCTGACTTTTGTAACTGAATGTCCCTTGTTCTCTCTTCTACAGACTAAGTGATTGTACCCCCCATTCATATGTTAAAACCTAACTCCAAACGTGCTGGTATTAGGAGTAAGGGGGTTTCAGAGGTAATTAAGTCATGGGAATAAAGCCCTCATAAATGGGACTGGTAGTCTTATAAAGGGACCCTAGAGAGTCTTCTACCCCTTCCACCCTGGGATAACAGAGGGAAGGGAGACATCTATGAGTCAGGAGGTGGGCTCTTAGCAGACAACACTTGGCAACTTAATTTTGAACATTCCAGTCTGTTGAACTGTGAGCAATAAATTTCTGTTGTCACAAGACTGTCAATGATATTTTGTTACAGCAGCTCAGTTGGACAAAGACACTCTCCTTTTGCTACACAAAGTCCAACTGTGAGAGAGTAATAATGTGGTAATTAGGCAGGGCCACAGGAGGCTACCTTGCTTGCACATTTTAAACTGCAGTTTTAACAGAAATATTCTCATCTCTAGAGCAACACAGATGTGCTTGGACATGACAGAGGGCTTTGGTCTCCCAAGAATCAGTTTACCCACTGAATAACATTTAACATTTAAACATTTTAAAAATAGATGCTGTATAAAAATGTAAGGGAAAGAAATAAGGAATAAAGAAAAGCTACAGTGCAATAATTCTTAGAACCAGTGGTCTTTAAACGTGAACATGTACCATATTTCCTGGGAGTGCAGATTGTTGCCCCCTACCCCAGAGTATCTGCTTCAGTAGGTTTGGGTGGGCCCTGAACTTGCATTTCTAACAGGTTCCCAGGGGAGATGGATGCTTTTGGTCCAGGGACCATACTTTGAAAAACACAGCTAGAGTACAGCATCCACRTGTAGTTAACAAGAAACTTGTCCAAAACATGCCTTGGGTGGATTTCTCTTAGAAGAATGGATTTCTCTTGCTTGATAAGTCATGATGGCCTCAAAGCTTAAAAACTATTTATTAACTGTGTCTGGAAGAGGCTATTTGTGGAAGGCTCTTCTGAGTTTTTTCCTGGCCTCCCCCTCTTGGGTAGATGTGGCCACTCTGCTCTGACCCACAGCATCATCCAAGCGGATGGTCTTCCATTTCACGTGACATGGCAGAGCCCCTTTATCTTCACTAGGCTATGTCTGCCTGAAGGCCTTGGTCAGAGGCTGTCACTGAGGCAGGGCCACAGGAGGGTGGCCATACACATGAGTAAGTAAACGTAAACACTCAAAACAAACACTCTCAGTCTAGCAGAGCGTAGGCATCTTTCTGCACAGAACTATGTCCAATTTAATTTGCACTCCTGTGGGCTTACTCCTGGCAGCCATTCAAGCTGGCCAGCTTTGAACAAACCTATGCTTTCACGAGGCTGCTCAGCCAGTTTCCACCTGTCTTCAGTGGGAGAAGCCGTGGCACACAGGGTCCCAGAATGTGTCTCTGGGCCTCCCCTTACACTTGCCAGGGCTTTTTATTTATTTATTTTTAACTCCCCACTCTCCACCAGAAGTGCAGGTTTTCTGACATTATGCCAAAGCCCTTTCCTGGACCAACCTATCAAAGGATGTGGCAGTTCRTCTCTTTGTTGTGGAAAGTACCCGTTTCATCCCTTACTTAGGAAATTGTCTTTAGACCCAGGTTTCTTGAACACACAAGTTCTGGAGCCTTTGGTTGATTTAGTTATGGGGTATGGGAAGCTCAGTTTTCCTTACGGTGGGCAATCTTGACCACATGCAACTGTCAAGGAGAAAGGTTAGCCAGCTGGCATGGTAGTAGAGCAGCTATCTGTTCCATCTGACCGGTTTTGGTTACCAGTTTTGAAGCCAAAAAGAAATGGGTTTCCTGGAAACAAAAGTGATGGAATTTAGGCTGTGAATTATATAACCCATCATCATTCCTCAGACTATGCCGGAATACTTTCAAATAAAAGTTTTTAAGACAAAGAAATGAATTGAGAAACAATATAAACACTACTACTCAGCCCTTGCTGCTTTTCCTACCTCGAGATCTTCTGCCAGTCCCTCCTTAACTCCTCTTCCCTCCTAAGAAGTTAAAAAAGTGCTGCAGCTTTAAGAGCAGGAAGGTGTTGTTTTAAGGGCCCTTGAGCCCCCCTTCTCAATTTCAGCACTGAGCTGAGATCACATCCCCCATGGCAGCCAAGGGACAAAAGCCATTTATCAACCCATCTGATAAAACTTCCAGTGGACTGAATCTTTATCTAGACCAAACCAAGATGAACACAAACTGCCAACTCCTCAGAAAGGGGTGTGTGGGTGTTCTTTTTTAAAAGAGGGTGATTTTCACTTTATTTCTTTAATTCTTGGCAAGGAAATCAACATTTCAACTGGATTCTTTTAAATGGATGGAGAAACTGCATTTTCAAGGAATGGGGATCTGGGGATGACCCTCAATGGAGGTTTTGGTATTCAGCGGGTGCAATGGGGCTGAGAGCTGTCTAGGGTACACGGGCACCTCCCTCATCTTGTCCGTGGCCAGGAACGTCCCTTGGAGCAGGTCAAGCTCTGGAGCAGGTCCCGGCTCCCTGGGAGGCTCCTGGACTCACAGCTGCTGAGTACTTGGGCCAACTTGGCTGGGCAGGCGCTGGGGGTCCTTGTAGTAGGACCGGGACACAGGGTAAACTGATCGCCCCCCACCGAGTACTACTCGCTGCCTACGTGGTCCGCCCACCGGGAGTCCCAAGTCGAAGCCAGGCCAAGCCAAGACTGCCCAGTTCTGTCCATTCCTTGAAACCCAGCTGGCTGAGGAGCAAATCAAAACAACCCAATACTCTAACTCAAGTCCGATCCTGCAGATCTCAGCTGYGCGCAGGGGCTGCAGATCTGCATCTGACTGAGGTGAGAAACAGGCTGGAATTTTTGCAAAAAAGACACCTCTGAACCCCCGAAACACAATGGAAATGGCCGGGAGATCCCGCCTTGCAAGAAGGACCATTTGGCCCGTGACATTGTGTTTATTTGTATTTTTAGCAGGAGAAAAATGGGTATGAAGGGTTTAACTGGCGTTTCCAGGCTGTGAGCAACATATGGCAAAAATGAAATAAAGTTTTACGAAACATTACAAAGAAAACAGACCGGGGATTTAAGTTTCGTGCCTTCCCCCTCCCCCCACAAAAGGAAAAAAAAGTAAAGAAACCGGAGCGTTTGGGAAGGAACAAATGCTTCTCTGTGGAGTTGGTCTCCCTTCCCCCAACAAAAACAAGAGGTCCGGGCTCCGAGGAATTTGAAAGCAACGATCTGCCAAAAACATTGTGAAAAACTATGGGGGATTCATTGGAAACAGATGGGCTTTTTCAGCTTTAATTCTAAAATTCTCTCCCTTTCTGACACAATAAAAACAAACAGGGGGCGACGCGGAATGTTATCAAACAGGAATACGAGCTCATCTGAACYGGGTCGGTGGGCTTCCCCGCGTGGGCAAGCACTTGCGGGCTGGACGGGGGTCCCAGGGGAGGGGCCGGTCGGGGACTGGGGTGCCACCTCCGGGGCGCCCTGGGCTGCATCTCTGAGCACCAGGCAGGTTTGCAAACTGGCAGGCGAGGAGCTGGAGAAAGTGCCCATAACACCCTGTTGGTGCCCCCTCTTCTCCGTCTCTTCTGGAGCCTCTAAGAGGCGCGTCCCGGGCACCCTCTTTCTCGGAAGGAGAGAGGGCGAGAGGCCCACAGGCACCCCGAGATCTCCTCGCCCGATTCTTGCCTTCGCAGCTCGGGCGGGGTCCCCCCTGGATATCCACTGGCATCCACCGTGCCCTTCCGTGGGGCACGGGAGAAACAAAGACCCGTGGAAATGGGAGGCGGGGGCCCGACGAGGGCCGGGGAACTTGAGCCCCGACTCGCTCCAACCCTGTAGGACAAGTGGCCCGGTGTTGAGGGGAGGCCCGGGAAGCGGGTTCTCCGGCCAGGGGGCAGTGCCTTACCTGCGGGGAAGCTGCAGAGAAGGAAGGCGAGGGTCGGCCAGAATCCCAGGGCTGAGCGTCCTGCCCCTCTCCCCATACCCATCCATCCAGCTCGGCCTGTTACCACTAGCCTCTCCCTGGAAGAAGAGTTTAGAAGAAAAGAAGAAAATAAATCACGCTGCTGGAAAAMGGCAGCCTCGCTCCGCCGGCGGGAGCAGCGAGCCGGGAGGCTCGGTCCACTTCGGCCTCGGGGCCAGGCGCCCCCCTTCGCCGCTCCCCTGCGCCCCTCCCTCGCCATCCATCACTCGGTTCCCCTCCAATGCCGCGGCGGCCCCGSGCCCCGCCGCCGCCCGCTCCGCCCTCCCGCGCTCGAATTTCAGTACCGCCCGCGCGAGCCCAGAGGCCTGGGGAGGCGGCGGGGGCGGCCCGATGGCTGCGCTTGCGGCTGGAACCTCGGAAACCCGCGTCAGTGAGCTCAGGGCTTGCGGAGCTCTGGGACCTTTGCGTGGTTTCCATACCCACTGCTGCCCACGCAGGAAACGCCCAGCACCCCTCCTGGGGCGACCAGACCCCGTAGGACACTAGGAGGGCCGCGTGCCCCCTTAAACCTTCACATAAATATCCAGTCCAAGCAGAAACAGTTTGGAGACAAGCCCCAGCCCTTCTTTCCAACTGCCATCCCAAAGATGCCACTGACACCCCTTGGTTTATTGCTCTCTCAGATGTGTCCCCAGAGCAGCAGGGTGGAAAATCTCCTTCCCAGTCGTTGGGGTCTAGATGGGGATGGTCCGACCGCAGGATCTCAGCCACGGATGCACCTTGAGGCTATACAGCCCACTGGGGCCCCAGGCCACCCATCTGGACTGGGCTCTAGTCGCCTCAAGCATCTCTCCTCCTTGCTTTCTGAAAACTTGCCCTGCCTGCACCTCCGAACAGGGGCCTGCGGGCCTGCTGTGCCTTCCAGGGCACAGCTGTCACCCCAGGGGACATGTGGGTGCTCTCATCCCCGGAGTGCACAGGGCWGGAATGACTGGCAGTGACAGAAAGGCTCCCAAGGCCGATCTTGGGAGGGCTTCGGGGTGGTGACCTCCCTTTAACTTGGTTGCTTATTTTTCCGGGAGCAAAATGTCTCCTCCTGCAACTCTTCTGTTGTGATATTCAAGGGACTGGCAACTTCCCTTGAGAAACATCTTTTGGATGAAACACAAATAGGCCAGAACAAGTGTTTTTAGTCAAACCCGTTCCTCCCTCTACCCCCCCTTACCTTACTCCCAACCCTGCCCATCTGGTTCTTTGGGGGGGGGGGGAAATCTGAGTTTTTATCCAATTTAGATGTTTCTCTTAAGCACTATCGCAGCCCTCAATTGCTGTGGGCCACACAAGCTGCAGGGCTAAGTCTGCAATTTAGTACTCTGCTGCCAGGAGGGAATCCTGGGGAGGAGCAGGCTGTGAGGAAAGGGAAGGAGGACCTGTGTCCTCAAAGACACAACCCCAGCAGCATTGCAACTTCTGAATCTGGCTTCCCTAAACAGGGAAGAAAGAAAACTAATTGTTCAGTCCACTCTGCAAYGGGGCAGCAGGAAGATGCAGTACCCACAGATCTAAAACTTCATGGAGGCAACTGTGATCCTTGATAGTTGTGATGCCCCTGTAGTTTCCCTATTTTAATGTTAGACCAACTATTTTAGTCTTAGACCAACAGAATCTAATTATCATTTCTCCAAACCAGGATTCAATTTTAGGGACCCTTTACAAAATGTTGTTTGTAAAATGTTATAAATTTGTCCAGGGAGARCTCATCATCTCAAAATCCAGGTCTCCAATGGTATTCCTTTCAATCGTGGCCAGCCCTTGAGGCTAGACCCAGCAGCTTATTGTGCATAATCACAGCACCCAGTCCATTCCAGTAGCAACACCTGGCACACTGAGGCAGGCCTACAGCCAGACAGCCAGAGGCACTGGATGACCTTTCCACCCCTGAGGTCCAGCCCTTAACACCGTTTGCTGGAATCTGCCTTTCCTGAGCTCCTTCTACAGCCTTAGCCTTTGAATGCGAGAAGAGATCCATTAGCAGCATTCCCAGGAGCCCAGACAGTAAGGAACCACCATCACTGCCTTGACCTCTCCGGGTGGCATCTTCAGGCCAGAGACCATGGCTTAGGGTCCTTAAGAGGCGATACAGCCTTCTGAAAATCCTGAAGCAGATCCCTGTTGTGCTGCCCTTGCCCAAGAGTGGACTTTGGCAGCAGAACTTTTAATCCCTACCTCAGTTTCTTCATCTGAAAAGGTTAGGCACCTCAAGACTGTAACTGAATTTAACTTGGGATGGAACAGTGGGGCCTTGGGACATCCTCAGYATCCCTGCTCGGGAGCTGGCTGCCATTTGAGGAGGAGACCTGAGTCTTATGGCATGAGTGAATAAAGTGGGAAAGGGCTTTTTTTCCTCAAGAGGAAAAAGGGATGAATTTGGACATGCCCAAGATGGGCATTTGTCCATTACACTATTTAAACTGTCAAGAGAAATCTAGCCTCAAATGGGGCAGTACCGGAGTATGTTGACTCCAAGTGATTTATCTAATCATTGATGACTCCTCTAACTCCATACAGAAATAAGAAATCCTTGAAGGGTGGGATTTTGGAACTCTGCACTCCATGTACCTTTAAAACTCACTTAACTCATCATATAGCTACTTGCGAACAAATAGTCCCATCAAGTTTGCCCACTTATGGGTCGAGACTGTCTGCGCTGTGGTCTAGGCCTCGGGCTGAGTCTTTTCATGCATGGTTCCAGTTCTTCCCCAGTCTTGGCTGTGGAGGCTCCACTGCTGAGCCCTACCCYACTCCTCTTACTCCCCACCTGGGGGTGGCAGCTTGGGAAGCAGGCTTCTAAAAGAAGGGCGGGGTTTGACAGGAGGCTGGAGCCCTCCCTGGGGTGGTGGTGGACAGGGACTCCAGCTTTGCCTGATTCTAGGTATGAGTGTTTCCCAAACCAGGGTCTGAGCCATCAGTTACATTCAGGACCTACTGCATGCTAGTCTCTGAGGGATGAAGAAATACCCCACTGTAGTGTGAGGTTAAGTGTCTGCTACAGGTTCATGTATTAAAAGCCTGGTTCCCAGGCTGACACAACTGGGAGGGAGTGGAAACATTAGGAGACAGTGTCTTATTAGAAGTCCTGAGGGTTCCTGGGGGCATGCCCTTGAAGTTGATTGTAGGACCTTGGCCCCTGCTTCTTCCTCATTTGCTTCCTGGCTCTAGGGTGAATAGTGGGCTCTGCCAGTGCCATCCAGCATGCCCAGTAGAGGGCCAAAGCCATGGGTCCACCCAGTTTGGGACTGGAAACTTCAAAACTGTGAGCCACAATAAATCTTTTGTCTTTACAAGTTAATTATCTCAGGTCTTTTGTTACAGTWATGGAAAGCTGATTCTAATACAGCTCCTATGTTTGAACAGTTGGTAGAAACAGATAAGAGACCAAGGATGACCAGAAAAGGTGAGTTGAGAAGTTGAATAATCTTTACCAAAAAAAGGTGGCCTATTTCTAGATGTCTCAAAGGATTTGTTTTTTAGTAATAATGACTAACATTTTAATACACTCTCACATTGTGTCAGGTGCAAGTTTCCATTTCTAGACACTTTTGGTTAAGGGATGTTTGATGATCAATCATCTTCACTGTACAGATTAGGAAACTGWGGCTGAGTGAGCTGAAGTACTCACCCAATTACTAATAAATGCAAAGCGGAGTTCTTCAACCCTCACGTTAGGTGTGCTGAATGGGTCATTCTGTTCAACGATAGTGTCCACAGTGGGCTTAAAGTCAAGGCAGACCGACCCGACAGAGGACACACAGAACATAGGTGCCCAGGCCTCCAGCCCAGCCTAGGGCGCAGGGAGGGGGAACAGGGAAAGGATTCAGGATAGAAGGAACAAATTCAACTTGAATGAAAATGTGGCTCACCTGAGGATCTGCAAAGGCTGGGGTCTGAGTGTAGGAGAAAGRGGTGAAGCTAGAGAAGAAGAGAGCAACAGCGTGGCAGACGGAGAAGCACTGGGGGCCTTACCTAAGGCCTAGAGATAGGGAGGGTTGCTTCTTTGGGGAGACACTGTAGGGGATTTAAAAACACATATGTTTTGGCTCCACTTCAAAGCAGCTAAATATGAGTCTCCAGGGGTACAGCCTGTGCAACAGCATTTTTGTGTGARTATGTGGTGTTGCAGATGGAACCCAAGGCCTTGCCCGTTCTAAGCCAGAACTCTACCACTGAATTGCATCTCCAGCCCTGCATCAGTATTTCCTAAGCCACTCTTTGGTATGTGACACTCCATATAGGTCTTCCTTGGCTGTTTGGAGATACCCCCMGTACCTTTCCAGCTATGGGGCTTGAAATTCTTTGTTTGGCTGAAACCAGTTTTGATTTAGATTTCTCTTACTCATGCTAATAGAATTCTGGGTTATATGGGGGAAGCTAATGGTCCAATATTGGTATTTTTGCCAACCTCAGAAATACATGGATGTGCTGCTAATGTCTCTCAATCCATCTTTAAGAGCCAGTTCTTGGCTATGCATTTGGTAAACAGCTTGAGCATTTTGAAAACTACTTGCCTTCACCATGTTATGAGAAACTGAGTTGCTTCACTGTACAACTCTGAGCAGGAATCAATCTTTTTAAATTTATCTCTCAAGTTTCTCTTTTAAACTTCAAGAGCTACCCTGGGGTCTGGTCATCTCAGATTTGATGAGCCAGTCTCCGTTCATGCTCTCCATAACCTCCAAGATTTTATGGCCTCTGATCATATCACCTTTCTGGCTTCATCTTTCCACACTAAAGCCCTCAAGGAACAAAGCAGCCCTGCTCTCATGAAAAACTTTCTCTGGCTGATTACATTGCTCGCCCTTCTACAGTTCTGAGATTTTTTTTTTTTTTTCCTGCAGGCAAATGTAATAAAACTGCCAGGTCTGGATATAGCCTGCGTAGAACATTATTTTTGGCTTGGTTTCCAATGCCAATTCTGATGGCATTTTAACATTTTTTGAGCACTTGATCCTATGTGACCTCTAGCAAACATACATTTTGCAAAGACCACAAAGTTGTCTTTTGTGGCTATAAACACAGTCTGAACAAAGCCCATTTTCTT